ATGTGAAGAGGCCATTCCAGCCATGTGACCTCCATCCACCCGCTAGCTCTCTGTTTTCCGTCTGTTTGATTAACAATCCCTTTTCTTTCCTCCACTTGTTCTTGGCAGGGGCACAGCCTCATAAACATTTGTTAAATATTTAAGAGTAATTGTTGAACATAATGACATTGTGGAGTTCTGTCTGTAGTCTGCAGCAATTAGAACCTAATTACAGGCAGGCCAAGAAAAAAGAAGGTATGCTTGTTTTTATAAACTTTTACACTTATTAAGACTGTTTTTTACATTCATGCTAATTATTTGATGCTGTTTTTTGGCAGGAAACGAACATACATGAAAATAAAAGAAATAAAAAATCTTCTTTGAAAGAAAAATTTGCAGGTTTTGTTAACTCTTTTGATAAAATATCATAAAGATGAATTTTAAAGTTAAAATTGGTCCTAAAGTTGAAAGATGTGTCTTAGTAGGCTCAAGATTTAAAATTCAAAATGAAATGTTTGCATGTGTCTGAAATCATTATGCCTCCAATCCATAAGGAAATAATTGTAGGTGGTGTTTATTTTTATGTTACTTGCCTTAAAGTGTGTAACATTGTTTCTGTTGCCAACAAACTTCATTGCTGCACTGAATCAGTATTAGGAGTATAAATAGTTTATTTAGGATTAAATCATTTAATATAATGTATAATATAGCAACTTTACCTTTAAAGGAAGCTTATATTTATGACTAAGACTATAGAAGATTGTATGAAACTTTTTTTGATAACAAATTTTTACTTTTCCCAATTTTATGTCATTTTGTATCACTTTTTTTGGTCTTGTGAAGCACCTCGTGTTTTTTATCTTGAGAGGCGTTAAATAAAATACTAAACATGTTTTATTGTGAAACTGAAACAATCTGTGTTTTTTATCTTTAAATGCCACTATCAATTAATCAATTCCTGTTTAATTTGTACTAAACTCTGCAGCGAATACAAAAAAAAAAAAAAGCTAATTAGCTTTAGTGTAATGCACTTTATAATCACCTAAATTTTTGGGGAAAAACTTTATTATTCTTTTGTGACTTCATAAAACCCCTTGTTAGTTTTCTGTCTTTGGTGCTTTAGAATATTTTTTGCAGTTGAAAAATACAAACTTTTGTGCTCATTTGTTAGAAGACGTGACAATTTTATATATAATTTCTTGGGATTATTATTGCTGTCTGCATGTATCATTTGCACTACGCAGAGAACTGCACTCCTCCGAGTGCTTGTTAACTCTCTCAACACTTACTGTACAATTATCTTGCAGGAAGAGAGGCTGCAAAGATGATCAGTCTGCATAAAATAACCCATGAGCTCAAATAAGCCGTGGTATAGTGCCAATAGCGATGCTGCACGTCACTTTCCTCCCTTTTTTCTTCCCTACTTGGAAATGAATGAAGTCCCCTGAAGCCGGTGACTTCCCCGTCTCCCCAAACTCTCTCCAGCACGGACTGGTGGTGCAGAAGCGCTGCTGATTAGCATGCAGTAATGATGGTGAGCTGGGCTCCATTGTTCTAACACCTCCCCTCTCCTCCGCACCAATCTGTCACCATTCAGTGGGCTAGAGCTGCCTCAAATGCTTCCCTCCACAAATGAGATGGATAATTAGTTGCCCCTCACGAATGCTGCACTCTTCTCACCCCTGATTGCTTTCACCTTCTTGCTCCTGGCAATTTTGACACCTTGTAATCAGCCTGCTACCTCTCCATCTCAATCCATACCCTACTCATTTTTATAGCTCTTAAATATATTTCAAATCTACTAGCTCTAGGGTAAATGTCCAAACGAGAAAAACAAAAGGGGATCTTATATCTTTAAAAAAAGGAACTAAATAATCCCGCAATGTAGCTGTAGAAAGACGTGAAGGTAGCACATAGAAATAAACACATAAACAATAATAAAAAAAATTAGCCATCAGGATGAGTTTCATCTTCCAAATAACAACGAATGACAACATAATTATGAGCAAGCAGCTGTTCATGATCCCAGAGAGAGAAGCATGCAGGCTGCACAATGTTCGCCTGTTCACAGATTAAGGAGACAGGATCATTAGGGATATGTATTAGCCAAAATAAAAACTGAATAAAATCTCCTCCCCTGTGTTCATTTTAGGATTTAAAACATAGAATTGTGCAGTTTGTGTTACTCCAAAATAAACACGCATTTTCTCTGACACTTCGCCAACATCAATATGTAAAATTCACCTTTGTATACACACCAACTGGTACATATTTCACTCTTTTCTGGTATGTGGATGTCGTGTTTAAATAGTGCTCTTGTATGTTAGCCTAATGACTCATTAGTTGGGAATAGTTGATAGCATTATAGCAGCACATTTCTGCACCCGTATGGGCTATTTATAACGTGCAGAGAAAGGCTCAGTGGTGAGAATTATTTATGGTTGGCTTAATCAATCAATCGGAGGGAGGAGGGGGTCTGATTATCGTAAAATAAATGGTAATACTCTACTTCTGAATTGGAAAAGATATAATTATGGTATTTACAATGTAATCTATCACGCAAAGCTCTGCAAAAACAAACACGTCCGGTTTCCTCAAGAATCCTCACACTGAATTGGTGAAAAATCACGACAATCTTTGTGAAAGTGTGAAGAAGTGATGCAGAAAAAAATTATTTTTGCTGTTTGGAAAATATAAAAGAAAGGTATAGTCAAGTTTTCACATACTGGAAAGTACTTGATTTTTTTTTTCCATAAGTAAAAGTACAGATAAATGGGTAACACATTTGCAGGTGGTCTCTAGTATAAAGGAATGCCTTCTGAGTCTATCTCTGTGGGGGGAAAGCTCTGGCGCTCCTGTTTCAGTAAGTAGAACTGAGCCAGAAGAGGGGGGATCATAAAACAGCAGGTTTTAGGGTCTTACTTCCTGATATTCGGACATCTTGTGTGTGATTGGCTAACAGCTAAACAACTCTGCCACTGACTCCATTTGTTCTGAAATTTTGATGTTTCATCTCCACAAATAACACAAGCCTGAAGGAGTCCCGCCATGATGTGGAGTTGCTAATGGTTAGCCTCTACAACTGAAGACGCTTTGCTGAGATAATCCATCCCACCTCACAGGTGTGCCACATCAAGATGCTGATCTGACATCATGAGTAATGCACAGGTGTACCTTATACTGCCCACAATAAAAGGCTACCCTGGAATGTGCAGTTTTGTCTCACAGCTAAATGCCACAGATGCCACAAGCATTGGGGGAGTGTGCAATTGGCATGCTGACAGCAGGAATGTCAACCAGATCTGTTGCTCATGCATTGAATATTCATTTCTCTACCATAAGCCATCTCCAAAGGTGTTTCAGAGAATATGGCAGTACATCCAACCGGCCTCGCAACCGCAGACGACGTGTAACCACACCAGCCCAGGACCTCCACATCCAGCAGGTTCACCTCCAAGATCGTCTGAGACCAGCCACTCAGACAGTTGCTGAAACAATTGGTTTGCATAACCAAACAATTTCTGCACAAACTGCCAGAAACCGTCTCAGGGAAGCTCAACTGCATGCTCGTCTTCCTCATCGGGGTCTTGACCTGACTCCAGCTCGTCGCCGTAACAGACTTGAGTGGGCAAATGCTCACATTCGATGGCGTCTGGCACATTGGACAGGTGTTCTCTTCACGGATGAATCTCGGTTTACATTGTTCAGGACAGATGGCAGACAGTGTGTGTGGCGTCGTGTGGGTGAGCGCTTTGCTGATGTCAATGTTGTGGATTGAGTGGCCCATGGTGGTGGTGGGGTTATGGTATGGGCAGGCATCTGTTATGGACAAAGAACACAGGTGCATTTTATTGATGGCATTTTGAATGCACAGAGATACCGTGATGAGATCCTGAGGCCCATTGTTGTGCCGTACATCCATGAACATCACCTGATGTTTCAGCAAGATAATGCACGGCCCCATGTTGTAAGGATCTGTACACAACTCTTGGAAGCTGAAAATGTCCCAGTCCTTGCATGGCCAGCATACTCACTGGACATGTCACCCGTTAAGCATGCTTGGGATGTGCTTGACCGGCGTATACGACAGCGTGTACCAGTTCCCACTAATATCCAACAACTTCGCACAGCCATTGAAGAGGAGTAGACCAACATTCCACAGGCCACAATTGACAATCTGATAAACTATGCGAAGAAGATGTGTTACACTGCATGAGGCAAATGGTGGTCACATCAGATACTGACCGGTTCTGAGTCCCCAGACCCCCAATAAAGCAAAAAACTGCACATTCCAGGGTGGCCTTTTATTGTGGGCAGTATAAGGTACACCTGTGCACTACTCATGACATCAGATCAGCATCTTGATGTGACACACCTGTGAGGTGGGATGGATTATCTCAGCAAAGCACAGGTGCTCACTATCACACATTTAGATTGATTTGTGAACAATGTTTGAGAGAAATGGTAATATTGTGTATCTGTAATGAATTTTAGATCTTTAAGTCCATCTCATGAAAAATCAGAGCAGAAACAAAGGTGTTGCGTTTATATGTTTGTTGTGTAAATACAGTAACAAAGTACTTGAACTTCGTTATAATAGTGATAAATGACCCGCACTTGAGTAGCGCCTTTCAGAGTCAGAGGACTCCAAAGCACTTTACACTACAGTGTATCATTCATCCATTTACACACTGATGGTCATGAGCTACGATGTAGCCACAGCTGCTCTGGGGCACACTGACAGAGGTGAGGCTGCCGAGCACAGGCGCCACCGGTCCCTCCGACCACAACCGTCACCGCTGGAAAGGCTGTGTACCGATGAACATTAGCGCTGATTTAATGATCAGTCTAATTTTTATAATCAGCTGATTTTCTAGCTTTTTTTAGTCCTTTTAACCCAGAATATAATTTAAACGGATCATGGAACTCCATTACTAGATCACCTAGATGTTTGCTTATATTTTAAATAAATGCACATTATTGCATGGCTGAAAATTTTCATATTCATATTAAAAAACTGCTACAGGAGTAAATACTGGTTTATTTTCTCAAATATATATTTATATGCATCACCATAAAATCTCAGTCTGATAGTAGAAAATCAATGTGAGCAAAATAAAAAAAGTGTACCATTTCAATATTAAGTATTAAATAGATGGATTCAAGTCTTATAGAAGTGTAAGTTCAGTTCCTGTACAGCGCTTCTTGGACTTCAAGGCAGGCAGGAAGTGGATCATGATGAACACAGTAAAATGTTTAAAAAGTAGTTGGGACCTTGGTCCATGAGTCTCTGCTGCCGCCGTCAATCATTGGTTTCGTTCCTAGGAGAGCAGTGCAAGAATAGGTGGCTGTTCATCCGGTTCTGAGGAACCACGGCGTTGCAGAAAGCACATTTATTCGGACTGCCGCTCTGAGGCTCCTGATCTGTCCCGATGTCGCCCGCCTCGCACAACCCAGGACTCCAGAGAGACTGCAATTTCAAAAACAATCGGAGATGTAAGCTGTTATTTATTCTTGAAACCATTTTTACACTCAAGTATGCTCCACAAACTTGGCCCTGAGGTTTAAGGATCTGTTGCTTTCAAAGTCATCCATTCTATAGTGAGAACAAACAGCAGCAGAAAGGAAAATCTATTCTCAAGTGTTTAATTATCTTCCTATTTTTGGGTTCATCCAAACTAACCAAACTGTAATTAAACGGCACAAACTTTTTCCCATCTCGTCATTCACCATTATTTATTAAAACACATCAGCAATAAAATCCTACATAGGCCCCTCATACTTGTTCCAACGTGCTTCCATCTGGCTCCCACTTTCAGGCAAAGACGCCAAATATAACCAGAGCGTCCGTGCTCAAATAAAAAAAAAGAAAAAGGAATACACACACATTACATGGTAATATGTTTCAAGTTTAGCCAAGGAGATATTTTTGGACTTCACACTGTTTTATTCCTCCATTAGCAAAGACCAATCAGAAACTGATAATTTGCTACTACTTTTCTCAGACCTTCTCCTGGGTTTCTCACCTGCTGGGGTCCCCGCACACTCTCTTGGGAGGGTGAAGAGGGTGTCGAGTGGGAGGGAGACGTGGGATAGACAAAAAGCAAAGGCAGTTCCATGGGCTTCTCCTTCGTCAGCGCCGGAGAGGTGCTGCTGGGAGGCTGCAGCTTCATGGGCATGGCCAGATTAGGATTCCTCTCTGGAGCACTGTTCAGAAAATCGTATTCACTGTCCGCAGGGGGTGGGAATTTCACACTGAGTTTGGTGAGAGAGTCTACCAAGTCCCTGTCCTCGTGAGCGGCACCACGGGATGCCAGAGATGCAGGCAGGTGAGGGATGTCCGCAGCTGCCCTTAAAGCTGAGGGAAAGGGCCTTTCTACCTCTGCGGTTCGGTCCGTACACTGGATGGGCATGGAGAACCGCTGATCTGGATAAGGAAGGAAAAATGTGATGTTCCATAGTTTTTGCTGTTTCTCATTTTATACTGGTTAAAGGACAGTTACACTTGAGACACATCTTGACAGGTTACATATACCATTAACCTTAAAAAATGTTTATTTGATTGCATTTTGCTACAATTATCTAAAAGACTTACAAATGAACCCTAACATGCATGTTTTGGCCTGTGGGAGGACACCAGTAAAAACCCACTCGTGCATTAGGAGTACACGCCAGCTCCAAGTGGAACGGCCGCTGTACAGATCTGAAAAGGTGACCTTCTTGCTAAGAGGCGACAGTGCTTATAATTGCACCCCCATGCATTTTGATACTGGTTCTCACTGGTCCACACTGTAGGTGTAGTGGTTTCCCCTGCAAATGCATTCATCAAATACCCAACAGGCTTCTGATTTTATATTTTATATGGTATAAATAGCATGCAAAGATGTAAAGAATCAGCACTAGAGATGAGACTTTGACATTTAACTAGAGGTCAACCCATGTTGGGTTTTCTATTGCTGATACTGATGGCGATGTGTAAGAGACATGGTCAGCCGATGGCTAATATGTGCAGCTGTTTTTTGGGCCGATTTTCATGGCTGATATCAAGGCATTTTTCCACCTTATTTTCATGCTAAATGTTGACCAATAACATCAGTTGATCTGGGGCTCCACGCAAGATCTCATCCCGTGGGGTCAAAATGATCATGAGAACGGTGAGCAAGAATCCCAGAACCACAAGGGGGGACCTGGTGAATGACCTGCAGACAGCTGGGACCACAGTAACAAAGGTCACCATCAGTAACACACTACAACGGCAGGGACTCAAATCCTGCAGTGCCAGACGTGTTCCGCTGCTGAAGCCAGTGCATGTCCAGACCCGTCTGAAGTTTGCCAGAGAGCACATGGATGATACAGCAGAGGATTGGGAGAATGTCATGTGGTCAGATGAAACCAAAGTAGAACTTTTTGGTATAAACTCAACTCGTCGTGTTTTGAGGAAGAAGAATACTGAGTTGCATCCCAAGAACACCATACCTACTGTGAAGCATAGGGGTGGGAACATCATGCTTTGGGGCTGTTTTTCTGCTAAGGGGACAGGACGACTGATCCGTGTTAAGGACAGAACGAATGGGGCCATGTATCGTGAGATTCTGAGCCAAAACCTCCTTCCATCAGTGAGAGCTTTGAAGATGAAACGTGGCTGGGTCTTCCAACACGACAATGATCCCAAACACACCGCCCGGACAACAAAGGAATGGCTCCGTAAGAAGCATTTGAAAGTCCTGGAGTGGCCTAGCCGGTCTCCAGACCTCAACCCCATAGAAAATCTGTGGAGGGAGTTGAAAGTCCGTGTTGCTCGGCGACAGCCCCAAAACATCCCTGCTCTCGAGAAGATCTGCATGGAGGAATGGGCCAAAGTACCAGCTACTGTGTGCAAACCTGGTAAAGACCTATAGTAATCGTTTGACCTCTGTTATTGCCAACAAAGGTTATGTTACAAAGTATTGAGTTGAATTTTTGTTATTGACCAAATACTTATTTTCCACTCTGATTTACAAATAAATTCTTTAAAAATCCTGCCATGTGAATTCATAGATTTTTTTTCACATTCTGTCTCTCACAGTTGAAGTGTACCTATGATGCAAATTACTGACCTCTGTCATCATTTTAAGTGAGAGAACTTGCACAATCGGTGGCTGACTAAATACTTTTTTGCCCCACTGTATTTTACAGAAAAAGGGCTGTAAAAATTGTTAATGTAGCTGTTCCAAGGGAACATACATTAAGACTGTTTTTGAGGTCAGGATTATTGAAACAGAAAGATGTGGTTTCCTTACAAACTTTATTAGTTGTCTACAAAGCAAAAATGCCGTTTGTTGCCATATGGACTTTTTACATTAAATGATGAAACAAGCAGAAGAAATTATAATTCTTAACAACCTTTTGCAGGTAGTACTTTGAAGAAATTATGCGTTTCAGTGTGAGACAATGGAATTCCTTAGTAAGGGACTTAAAATGTTGTTCAAATATTTTTCTATTTAAATATTATTATAAACGGAAAGTACTCAATTTGTACCAAAATGATTTTGAAAATTGTTAACATCTGTGTTCACATAGATGTGATGAAAATGAATTAATGGCAATGCTGAGAAGAGTATTGGTGTGTAATAGAAGACTGAGTTTGGTCTGTGCAGCTTTATAGTTTACAGGCATCGGTCGGTCAGTCTAGTCGGTAGTCATTTAGAAACAGAAAAGGGTGGGAGGATTATAAGATTTTATTTCTTCATCCTACTCCTGTTCTTTTGTCAAGAAAGATGTTATATTCATGTTTTGTTTTGTTAGTTGTATTTTTTGTTATTCTCTTGTTATTTTGTGGGGCGACGGTGGCACAGGAGTTAAGTGCTCGCCCCGTAATTGGAAGGTTGCAGGTTCGAGCCCCGCTCAGTCTGTCGCTGTCGTCGTGTCTTGGGCAAGACACTTAACCCAACTTGCCTGCTGGTGGTGGTCGGAGGGACAGCGCTCGGCAGCCTCGCCTCCGTCAGTGAGCCCCAGGGCAGCTGTGGCTACATCGTAGCTCACCCCCACCAGTGTGTGAATGTGTGTGAATGGGTGAATGATTGATTGAGTCGTAAAGCACCTTGAGGGGTTCCAAGACTCTAGAAGGCGCTATATCAAATACAGGCCATTTACCATTTACCATGACTTGGAACAAATAAATAAATAATAAATTTATCAGCCGACCTATATAATGATCTACCCTTACAATTAACTAAGAATGTTTGGTTCAAGTGAATTGACTCTTTTTTTGTTTTGGTTGAACTCAGAATGCTGGGTTTAAAAAAAGCCAAAGTAATGTGATCAAATCACTGACTTCAAGTCTATTTTATATACTTTGATTAATACCAAATATAGTTCAGATCAGTGGATTCCTGCTGCTTTGATACTCCTTGCCTGGCAAGCCATTCTTTATATGTAATTATAGTCTGGTCATATAGGCAGAGGTCAGTCATGAGGCAGAATCTATGGTTGTCTTTTAAACTGTCTCTGCTCGCGATTAGACAACGCTAGGACCAGTCAGAACAACAAACAACATGACATATTCACAACGATGGAAATCAGTCAATGGGGCAGTCCACCATCCTCCACTGAAGAAGTACCTCTATCTGCTCATGTCTCAAAGACAAGCCAAAGTCTTAATCGTCCACAATTGATGCCCAAGCCATTTCACACGAGCGCCGTTCTATAGCCGCTGTCATTGTTGTTGCAGCTCTGCCGTAATGATGCTAAAACGGCCCAACATCTCTACAAACACAGAGCGCTGTGATTGGCTCTGCCTAAACTTAGCCCAGCCAATGGTAGACCTGCTGAGGCTAGACCAACCTGCAGGGCAAAATATTTTTCTTCTGCTAAAGCTTGTCTAGATTTGTAGGCTAGTGGATTCCTGCTGCTTTGAAACGTATAGAATCTCAAATGTCCTATAGTGGTTTATACAAACACAAATTGGTAATCCTGCAACAATATCTGGAAGTGTTAAATTAGAATCAAATAACTATAGCACTTTGCATAAATGACCGTGTAACGCTAACTTGACAGAGATCTGGTCTTTTATTACATAGCTTGAGTATGAACCACTGTGACATTTTCTAATTAAGAGGTTTTTTTGAAGCAGAGAAAAAAATTCTTGGTTTTATCACTCAGATTACTTGATAGTTGGTCAGATATAAATTTTCCAAACTGAGGTGACTCAAAATACTTTCAACAGCAGGTAAGATAATTATTAATCGTAATTTTTCTACAGAAAACTCACTTCAGAAAAACCGAACCAGGACTTTAAAGGTGCCGTTTCTTACGGAATTAATGGAATTTTGCTGCAAAGACAATAAAAAAAGGCCCTAGAGCAGAGGATGCATCACGAGAATGAAGAAGACAAAAGCATTGATTCAAACCGCTGTCAGCCCTTTGCGTACATTTCATTTTTTTTTTTTTTTGCTAAACAAGCATTCGCACATATTCCCACTTTGTCAGCAGAGATTAGATGTTCTCATCATGTCCGACAACAAAGCAGCTCTCCACGAGGTTGTGTGGCGATAAAAGTTTCAGTGAATTACGTTTTATTCCTCTGATTTCTTGTTTTGGTGTGACCAAAAACCCACTGTGTTTCTCACTTCCTGGAACGGCAGCAGCCAGCAGATGTGTTGTGTCACTGTTTTGTTATCACGCATTTCAAATTGTCACCGTTTTTGGTTTCGTTAGTGGACGGAGGGTCAACAGAACGCAAGCAATAACATAACAAAGCAGCGAATTTAACTATCAGCAGTCAAATGTTGCACTTATCAACTCCAGTTAGCGCACAACCTGCTACTGATACTTTCATAGGGCTGTCAAAATTTACATGCATGATATGCACATGTACTAATTAAAGTTTCAAAAGGACACGGTTTAAACTGATTCAACACCGAGGGAAAAAAGATGTCTGCAGCCTTTAGGTCTAAAAGAACTGTAAAGAGATTCACACAAAAAATATAGATTTTTTTTTTCCTTTTCCTGTTGTGCAAGTTGTTAACGTGTTCTTGTTTGTTTTACATGAAACAGATCCTTTTAATTCACATTTTAGAAGATACAAAAACTTGAAAAATAATTTTTAAAAAGGTATTGTAGTTTTGAGTTATTAAAACATCCACTATGTAAAGAAAATATTAACCTGGTTAAATATGCTTTTAAATCTTTTTTCCCCCCAGAGATCAGCCACTGATGTTCTCAGAACAGATATAATTTAAAAACGAACACATATTTATGCAACTTAATAAAGCTTTTCTGCACATTTAAGGAAATTTTGTCAAGGTTGTGCAATACGAAGGTCACTATTACCGTTTGACGCATCGCATCCTCTATGAAATCTTTTCAGGTGATCTTTTTGTCTTCTGGTTAGAGACTGGATCTGTCGAAATCGACCTTGAATTGCTTCAAAAGCCCCCTGCATGTCCTGACTGGCAAATAAATAAAACAAAATGTAAGGGGGGGGTCACATTTTAAATTGTAAAATCAGGATTTGTGGATTTGAAGAGATAATAAAAGAAACAGTCAAGGAGAGACACGTACTAGTCAACGCCGCTGCTGCTGACGGGCAAATTAGGAGCAACGGTGCCCATCTTCTGAAAAAGACACATTAAATTTTTAGTTGTCATTAACAACAATTATCCAAGAGCATGCTGCCGAGACGTGCACACTTTTATTTCATGCATCACAAGTGAAAATGCTTCCTGGTTGGTTGAGACACAAAAAATTCCTTGAAAAGCTGAAGCTGCACTGAGCAGTGATGTTATCCTCTAGCACCATCTGGTGAAGTAAAAGGGGACGCACTGCAGGCCACAGTCTTATGTAAAAATGCTGAAGTCAGCAGAAAAATTAAGACATTGTCTTACTGTTGCTGAAATAATCAAGACAATAATATTATGACTATAATAAGTGCTGCACATATGGAAGAAAACATTACTAAGAACTAATCAAGACCATTAAGGGAAATGCTAAAAAGTACCAGTTTGAATCATGTATTAATATTCTACACTTCTAGATGGGTGCAGGTCTGATTTGTTCCTGTAAGTCCTTTTATATAGCAGCACCAAACTAAAGCAGAAGCTCTGCCAACTTCTACAAATGTGAGAGGAAGCTGCAAGCTACTGGATGCATGTCCTTAATTTCAACGATGAGGTGGAAAGAGCTGTGACTCTTACGCGAGAACACACCGGGGTCTGTGGTGTCCTGTAAGTGCCGGGCCCTTCGAGGAGATGGTTGCAAGGCTCACATTTTATTTCTTCTAGGAATCAAAATGTAGGAAATTAAGAGAGTAAAACAAAATACAAGTGTTTGAAATGTGGTCAAAATCCCAGGATGCGTGCAGAGTAAGAGCGTGTTTGTTCAAACCTGATGTTTGACTCGCTGCAGACAACTTAGCTTCAAGTTCAGAAATCAACCTCTGCTGGTCTTCTATCTGCTTCTGGAGCTCCTGAGTGTATCGCTCATAATATTCAGTCTGTAAACACACAATTTATGCTCAGTTACCCATCAATAAACACAGCTTTAGATGATTTACACAAATTTCTATTGGAAACATAAAGAACCAAATCTGCTTGCAACAATTTAACCCGCAGTTACCATTTTCTGCAGCTCCTTTTTAGCATTGTCCTTTTCGATGGAGACCTTGCGATAAGCTTCGAAAGCTTTGTTGAGCTGGTCTCCAATGTTCCTTTCCATGCCTTGTGCTCCGCGGTCATCACTGACACGGCAGACATGAGCCCTGTAAGTGAAATTTTAAACTATTACAGCCGCTTCTGCAAAAAAATAAATCACAATTCAAACAACTTTTAGGCATGATTTGCATTTACTATCTGCTTAATACTTATATTTTTTTGTTTCATTTTAAATTATGAAAAGAGACTTATATTTTGTACAAATGTTGCTAAATTCTTGTTGAAGTAATGGACTGATGCAATGAGGAAAACTGTATCAGGCTGAATTGAGCAATCATGAAAATACGTTTTTCTTCATGAATATTAAGTCTAGATGAAACAAAAGTTGGATCTAAATGTCAGATATTGATTTTCTTCTTCAGTTTTGAGGACATAAATGCAGATGAGCAGCTAAACCACTAAAAAGTGATGCAAATAATTTATGCTAATAGATTCACTGCTTTTTTAATTTAAATATTAGAGCAAAACAAATGGAGGACCGTGTTTACAGCTGAAACTGATGAGTGATAGTAAAGAAGCTAATGGAAGTCTTACCAGGATCTCTCCATCAATTATTCTCCATTAGAAGTGTCAGCTTAACCAGTAGCTACCAGCTGCTCCTGGATCAGTTACCGTAAGCTAATAAATACGCAGAAACCTTCCAAGAAACCTTTGAGTTTGACTTTTTTGGAGTGTTTCATAGTTCCGTATTATTTGAACTGTAACTATCTGTAATGCCTTCTCCTTCTGATGCTTTCAGCCGGTCAAATCAAAAAAGAACCAGAAGAAAAAGGAAAGAGACTCTCCGCGGATCCGCTCAGCCGGCGCGAGCGCGTCCCTTCTTACCTTCGTTCCAGCTACTCCTTAAAGTCTAATTAATGTCTTGTTGTGACACCACGGCCGCATCGTCGCCTAATCTTCTGATAGAAAGTTACGAAGCGCTACAGAGGATATGGTAATGTGTGTTTTACATAGCCCAGTTTGAGTTGGGAACTTCCCTCGGGGAATCCCCCTGCTCTGTGGACTTCCGCCTTTACCCGAGCCTGACCAATCAGCGGCGAGCTTGGAGGAGTGCAGGGTGGTTAACTGAACTGAGGGTTCTTCCAGCCTACGCGTCTACAAACCGACTGTTGTGCATGTGAAAATTGTCTCCAAAACTTGAGTTTTATGCTTTGTTACTTTCCTTTTTTTTAATTAATACTTCACGCCTACCTGTGCAGGCTTTGCCTAAAGATTTGCGACTGATTTGAATAAACCTTGCAAATCATTTGTTGCAGTGCTGTTGCTATTAAATTCAGGAAACAATAAGAACCTGTGTGCCTTACACATAAAATGATGCAAAACAAGTATGCATCTGCTAATTTACATTATTTTAATAGTTTATATGCAAATTTGCAGCCCATTCAGCCACAGACAGCAAAGTCTGAGGCCTTGCAAACGCAGCCCTGAAAACAGGTAAAATAATACAGGTGCTGGCCAGTAAATTAGAATATCATCAAAAGGTTGAAAATATTTCAGTAATTCCATTCAAAACGTGAAACTTGTACATTATATTCATGCAATGCACACAGACCAATGTATTTCCGATGTTTATTACGTTTAATTTTGATATTTATAGGTGACAACCAATGAAAACATCAAATCTGGTATCTCAGAAAATTAGAATATTCTAAAGGCCAATGAAAAAATGTTTGTTTCTCTAATGTTGGCCAACTGAAAAGAATGAACATGAAAAGAATGTGCATGTATAGCACTCAATACTTAGTCGGGGCTCCTTTTGCCTCAATAACTGCAGTAATGCGGCGTGGCATGGACTCGATCAGTCTGTGGCACTGCTCAGGTGTTATGAGAGCCCAGGTTGCTCTGATAGTCGTCTTCAGCTCCTCTGCATTGTTGGGTCTAGCGTATTGCATCCTCCGCTTCACAATACCCCATAGATTTTCTATGGGGTTAAGGTCAGGCGAGTTTGCTGGCCAATCAAGGACAGGGATACCATGGTCCTTGAACCAGGTGCTGGTGGTTTTGGCACTGTGTGCAGGTGCCAAGTCCTGTTGAAAGGTGAAGTCTGCATCCCCATAAAGTTGGTCAGCAGCAGGAAGCATGAAGTGCTCTAAAACTTCCTGGTAGACGGCTGCATTGACCCTGGACCTCAGGAAACAGAGTGGGCCAACACCGGCAGATGACATGGCACCCCACACCATCACTGACGGTGGAAACTTTACACTGGACCTCATGCAACGTGGATTCTGTGCTTCTCCGCTCTTCCTCCAGACTCTGGGTCCTTGATTTCCAAAGGAAATGCAGAACTTGCTTTCATCAGAAAACATAACTTTGGACCACTCAGCATCAGTCCAGTCCTTTTTGTCCTTGGCCCAGGCGAGACGCTTCTTGCGCTGTTTCTTGTTCAAGAGTGGCTTGACACACGGAATGCGACACCTGAATCCCATGTCTTTCATGAGTCTCCTCGTGGTGGTTCTTGAAGCGCTGACTCCAGCTGCAGTCCACTCTTTGTGGATCTCCCCCACATTTTTGAATGGGTTTGTCGTCACAATTCTCTGCAGGGTGCGGTTATCCCTAGAGCTTGTACACTTTTTTCTACCACATTTTTTCCGTCCCTTCGCCTGTCTGTTAATGTGCTTGGACACAGAGCTCTGCGAACAGCCAGCTTCTTTAGCAATCACCTTTTGTGTCTTGCCCTCCTTGTGCAAGGTGTCAATGATTGTCTTTTGGACAGCTGTTAAGTCAGAAGTCTTCCCCATGATTGTGGTGCCTTCAAAACAAGACTGAGGGACCTTTTAAAGGCCTTTGCAGGTGTTTTGAGTAAATCAGCTGATTAGAGTGGCAGCAGGTGTCTTCTATATTCAGCCTTTTCAGAATATTCTAATTTTTTGAGATACCAAATTTGGAGTTTTCATTAGTTGTCACTTATGAATATCACATTTAAATGTAATGAACATTGGAAATACACTGGTCTGTGTGCATTGCATGAATATAATGTACAAGTTTCATGTTTTGAATGGAATTACTGAAATATTTTCAACCTTTTGATGATATTCTAATTTACTGGCCAGCACCTGTATGTAGCACTCAAAGAACAAAGCAACTTTTTCATGCATTTGCCAACACATATAGCTCCCATCAATATTTTTCATATTTTTTATTGCTATAATTTGTTAACCTTCAACTTTGGTCAGTAGAATTGTTAATTATAACCACATAACTTTTTTAAGTGCTTTAAATGATTGTTGATTTCCTTGATGTATAAACGTTCTTTAGACATGAGACTTGTTGGGCCTGCACAACAAATATGTCAACATGCTGCATCTTTGACCTACTTTTGGTTACCTTTGGGTTGGACAAATAAAGTAAACACTGCAGCACACACAGTACACCATCAGTACATGATTTTGATTTAATAGAACAAAATAACATGTGATTAAATAATAAAAAATAATATAATGTAAATAAAAGGAAATTTGGAGCTTTATTTTTGTTTGAATGAGTTATGGTGCAAATCGTGTGCAGTCTGAAAACTTTGCAGAATGTTTCTGCATCACTGTACTTTATTTGCAATAGCTTGCAGCCCTCTTGGTGATTTATGCCTAACTCAGCTAAATAGAATTGTTTGGAGAACCCAAATTGTTATCAGAAAATGATGTGCAATCGTACAATTCAGCAGATACAAATGTTTTATTATCAGGTCTGAATATTTCTGCAGAAATAACAAACGTTTTGTGCGCCACAGTTAAATGATGCCACCACAGATTAGTTCAAGCTGAATTACCCTGATCCTTCTGTGTGTTGGCCAGTAGATGGCAGCTAAGAGTGACTTTTTGAGGTTAAGTAAATGTTCACTGTAACACGAAATACTATTACTGTAGCTTTTTGTATTGTACCAATAGGTTTCTGTCAGTCTACTTCATATTTTCTCACAAAAGTTCTCAATTTTCTATTTTTGGAATTTCTAAAGTTCATGTTCCCTTTTTTGGAGGAAAGAGACTTTTTGCTTTTTTTTTGTTTTGTTTAAATGTCGTTCACATGAATGTTTTGTTTTCAGTCTCAGATCATAACAAATATCATTAACAATGTTCAGAATAAATGAGTGAGCACGTCTTCTCCGTCATGAGTCGGAGCTAGAGCAGACTTCGATGTGGCCTGTCCGTGATCATTCCCTTCCTGGAATCATTTCCAAGAGCATTTCATCTCCGACCCCATGCTGACATTCCTACTTCAACCTCTGCTCCTGCTGAGAATGACTTACAGGCCCAGACCGCCACAATTCTTAACACCGGGACATCTTAAGGGTTTCCCATATATATTTTTTCTCAAGGTTGCTTTGAACTTGTGGCATTTTGACACAACCCTGGTCTTGTGGTTCTAGTAGAGAAAATTGTCACTGAGGCTGTGGTAAAGTGATAAGTCGTGATGTTTCTGAGCTGAACACCGAAAGAACTGCATAAGTCATTTCAATGACCACACAGTCATTCACCTCAATTACTATTTTCTCTTTGTGTTTAGTTCACAAGTCACCTTTTGTTCTCATTTCCTGGGGGAATAAATTCTGTTATGTGAGTTTAAAATATAAAAAAAGATTGAAATTTTTGTCCAGAAGTCCAAAGTGAGACTAGATAAAGTTGAGATAAATGGAAATGGGTTTTACCTAGAGGTAGAAGAAGTACTTTTTACTGCTTTTTAAAGGTACAGATAAAGGGGTATAAAAAGAAGCAAACGTGGAAGCATACAAAAGAAATGGACTTAAGTAAAAGTATTCAACTATGCATTTTGAACTTCTACTTAAAAGTAAAAAAGTCTAAGTATTCAACTGATATTTAAATATGTGTTTTGTATGTAGAAGTGTGCTGTCAGACTGGGGACGGGGGCAAATTAAAGTACTATTACCTTTGGAACTGCAGTCCAGCGGGGAAGAAGGAGTGCACTGCCTGTCTCCATTGGACCATGGGTTTATGGTGTGGGTCACACAAAACGAAAATGAAAGTGCTTTTACTTTTTAAACTTTTTAGAAAATGTAGTTAAGTAAAAGCAAAAAGTAGGCCTTGAGAAAATTACTGGAGTACAGATACAGAAAAATTATACTTAAGTACAATAATGAAGTACTTTTACTTCATCACAAGGCATCTCTTGTTTAGCTTTAACTAAAGGTGCATAATGTAAGAAAAAAGTAAGAATGACATCCTGTAGTCCAATTTGGTTACTGCAGCCCGTTTTCTGAATAAAAACGAGTGACTTTCACACTACCGTTCTGTGGGTTTGAAAGCTGTTGCTAGCTATGGCTCAGCGCCAAAAGATTCAAGATGACCAGTGAAGACAAGTAAGCTGACAAATAGATAAATACATTTCCCTATCAAGTTGTTGGTAATTTAAAAAGTAACTTGAAATATTTTTAGGGCCAACTATTTGCTTATACTTCACTGTTAGCATTGTTAGCTCAACCTTAGCCTCTAGCCGTCTTTACCTGATATTGCAGTAAAGCAAAAATATGTTGTGGCTTCTTAGAGGTACAAGAAATAACTTCTAGGTCACTCCTATTACTTAGAATCTTTGCAAAACACTGCTGCATTTTAGCGGTGGTTGTCGAGTTCTGACGCAGTAGCGTTAGCTCACTCTGGATCCCCGTGAGCTCACGGATTATACACAGAGCCTATATTCTTCTTTAGCCATTTTTAAAGAAGAACCCCTGAAAACCCCTCAACCACCTGAGAAGAACATTTGTTTCATTGTAACCTTTCTCCCTACATGTTTTATGATTATTTACTATACCATTTTTTACATATTGCATCTTTAATTAACATTATGTACACAGCCTGGAAGGTGTATTACCC